AAAAATAATTAATTGAGTAAGTTGAGATCAAAAGTTTGAGAAAAATTTAAAAATAGTCACTTGTCAAATAAGTATTTAATTTTGTCATGAACTACATAATTTTAAGGAATAGGTAACTTTGGCATGTATAGAAATGATTTTAAAACAATAAACAAAGACCAGCTGTTTTGAAATTTTGTTGGTTAGGCAACTCTGGCACTAAACCACTTTACTATCCCTTTACCCATCTATTTCGGTTCATTGTAGTTGCAATATCCATTCCAAAAATCTCCATACTCAGGAATAACTAAAACAAAAAAAAAATGAAGGCGCAGTGTGTATCTTAAAATTAAAAATTAACAGAGATATTACTTTTTTAAATTCTTAGAAATATCCTTATAATAAATTCTTTTAATAAAAGGTACAGTGATTTTCAATAATCTCAAAAAAACATCTGATTTATGCTCTCGGCAAGTGAACCATGCAAAATTAACATGTTCGTGTAAATATAAAATTAGTTTTTGAACAATGCGTTCTATATGTCCATATTTGGGTAGAATTTGATAAATACAATCATGAATAGTACCCAAAAATTGAACAATTGCTTTTTGTGCATAAATCAAACGTCTTTTTTCATCATATTCCTTTAAATGTGTAAAACTATGATGAGGTTCTACAATGTCTGTTCTTAAATTGCCGGAACACACTTCGCAATCAATTCCTTTCATTTTTTTGACTACAAATCCAGCTACATAAGTGATAGCCTGAATATCAAAGTCAGTATTATGAAGTGAATTGACATTGAATTGTTTAATTTTAAGGCTAGCCAATTCATTTTCTTGGCCAGACAGTAGTGGTTGAGGTTCATCACTAAAAGTTAAAAATGAATTTAAATTGTCTAACAAACTACTATCATCTGCTTCACAATTGGTACTGTAATTTTTAGGTGTAATTAAACTATTTAAAACAGATGTTTTCAAAGCTGTTGTGAATTGATACAATTCGGATTTGTGTTTGCTGCACCACACTGCCGAATTGCTCCAAACATGTTCTCTACTGGATCTTGATTTAAAGAACGGGTTCTCAAATGTGGAAAACCCAACTTCCAGCACTCGTTGGTTAACAATTTAAGACCCTTAAGGGTAATTAACCAACCTGTTTTAAAGGGCATTGACTCTTTAGGATTTTTATTGTCTTCTAAGAACTGCCAAGACTTTATTTTTGGTAACATACTGTTCCAAAAATTTAAATGTCTTGATTTCTTAGAAGCACAACACCTTAAAGCCTTGCCTCGATCACAAGTTAGTTTTTTACCATTAAGACTGTCAAATAGTTGATCGATGTCTTCAATAAATGCAGCAGTATGAATGGCATCTGCTGGTAGTACGTTTGCATCTATCATGCTTTGAATTGTAACAGCCATTGTGTGACTCATAACTTTAGCCGCAACTGAAACTTTCATTTTTAATTTACTATTTTTACTAATGTCAAAATAAGATTCCCTAATACTATACAAAGCCTGAAATTGTTTGGTCTGGTCAATTTTGAAAGCTTGTTTAACATATTGAGACTTAGCCCGCTTATTTGAATCAAAAAGAATTTCATATTTAAAAAAAGCATTTCTTGTGCATTTTAAAAGATGTGGGGGGTCGAATAATGTTATTACCCTTTTCCCATTAACATAAAAATAAGGACCAGGTCTTGTAATTTGCCTATCACTTCTCAGCTGATTTAAAGCTGCTCGATTTGTGCCCCCCAGATCACACACAGTAGCCAAAACATTTAAACCTATATTTTGCAATGCTGTTATTATTTCTACAATAATGACTTTCAAATCTAGAGTTTTTATTGCAGCTTTGGTAAAGTAATAAGCCACTGGCTGCTTCCAAGCCTTTCTAAGGCCATTAATTACAAATACCAGGGCATGATCAGCAGACTCTAGAGTTCTACCTAAGGTTTTTCCTAGATCTAAATAACCAACTACTTTATCATTTACTACATCTAAAGTAAACTGTTCTGCGAGTTTAATCTCATCAAATAATAAAACACAGTTACGGTCAATTTGATTCATTTTGGCAACCCTTTCCTTAAGAAGATCAAAAATTTCTACATTAATTCCAGTATCAAATGGAACAGATTTTAAAAGTGAGTGAATGGTTGTTTTACTAGGTAAAGCAATACACCGTCTTAAAAAATTATACGCACGAGGGCCTCTCTTATATAAAGCTAATGAAAATACTTTATCTTGAGTTGTCCATGTACGTTTAACTTTCTTAGAGTTAGTGACACTACTTTCTAAAAATTTCATCCCGGCTGGATCTAAGTTACCACTAAAATTTTTAAATAAATTTGTTTCTGATAATTTTAAAGCAGTCTTAATTTTATTTTTAGATTTTAATAAACTATTTTTTAATCTTGAAATTTTGTTTCGCTGCTCTCGATTAATATAATAAAATTTTCTCTTTCTAGGAGTTAAATTACCAATTCTAGTTGCATTAATTTGATTTAAAATACCAGTTCTTACACGTGGTTTCTTTATTAAAGGTTCCTCAACACATTCAATTCTATCATTAAAAAAATCTAGCTTTCTTTTAGCTGAAGTTATATTCGAAACAGAAGGTTTAATCAAAACATTATTAATTTCATTTATTTTTGAAAGCGAATTTGATGAAGGCAGCTCTGAAAAATTTTCATCTAATGTAATATTATTATTAGTAGTAATATTCTCTTCTAAAGGCGCTAAAGGCAAGGCAAATTTAATGAGCTTAGTACCCAAAGTGCTGGTAAAGGCATTCTCGTCAAAATGATCCTCGCACAATAGTTTTTTTTAGATGTGTAGGGAATATTTAAAATATCAAACCATTTCTCTCTAAGGGTAATAATGGACGGAAAAGTAAAAAATTTCTTATTAAGTGAATGTAAATAATATTTGCTTCTGCAATTTGGAGCAGCACATGATAATGTAAATTTATTATAAGTTAATGACATCGTTAAGGACCTCAGTATATTTTTACACCTATAAATTACTTAAATCTAACTAAAACTAAATTAAAAATAAGATTAATTAAATTTTACTCACCTACATTTTCCGCGACTGTCATGTTTTAGTGTAACATAACCTAATTTATTAGCAAAGCCAGATTTACACCACCTCATAATATTCAAATGTAGCTTTAACTTTATAAATTTATAACAATTATCCCTGTATTTGATCATTATATTGTATTAAAGTGATACTTAAAAGATTGCATTAGTAAAATTATTGATTTCTTTAAAATTTATTCATTTTTTAATTATTATATGGGTGTAAAAACGGCTTTTATTTAGTGCTCGCAGCGCGTGAAGCGCGATATGATAAACTACAAACAAGGAAACAATTCCCGCCTATTATTCAAACCTTCTCTTTTTAGTTTTTCTATGGCAGCAACACTATCTTCACCGCTATGTAAAATGCCTTACTCTAAAAGCATGCATTTATTCCTATCGGTTTAAATAAAACGCTATACTCGCCGCTTCATTATAATTCGTCGATAAGAAAGAACGCGTTGCAAAACATATAATGAAATAATATAAAAAAAATTATGGATTTAAATATCTATTCCTTTTAAAAGTATTTTTCCTTTTAAATCATATTATTTAATAATAGTAACATTATTATATATCTAAAATTTGGCGGCACAGTTTTAGAATTTCGAGGCACACAAAAGTGCCGCGGCACAGTGGTTGAGAATCACTGCCCTAGGCAATAAAAGACAATAATAAAAATATGTCGTTCGATGGAGAATATTAATTTATTTAGTAAATCATCCTGTAGACATTGAAATTAACAGTTATACGTATGTTAGGGTCGATTCCACCGTGTTAAACGGAGATTAAAATGACATTGTTAATGTAAAAATATTTTAAACTTCGTTTAACACAACGGTGGAATCGGTCCTTAGTAATACTACTACCTAAAAATCATATTTGCCTTCATCGATATTTACTAATCACCCTGCATATATGGTACCTAAAATATTTTGATTTATCTTTAAAAATGGTAAATCTAGACATAATTTATTTTTTAATAAATATTTTTAGCTTCTAGAACAATTCCTTACTTATTTGCGACTCACCTTGTGGAGGATAATATTTTTGACCCATGTTTATATTCATAGAATTCCATAAGATATAATAAAATTAGCCACTAAAAATTGCAATTATCTTTCTCCTGTAATAACCGGTAACAAAAAAAGTAGGGGAAGGTGGTATACACAAGGTCGTTTTCTGTCTTTCTTTGATTAAAATTACATTTTCTCAATAAGAAAAATGATAATTTTTTTGAAGATAGATTTGGTTATTACTTATTTATTGTTGAAAGTAATTTAGCAAAAAGTTAATATTTTTCACAAAAAAATATGTCCCTACATATACCATTTGTCCTGTATAAACCACCCCCTGGTACATAGAGGGACAAACAAAGTTACTGTTAAAATTAAACTATTGATAGGGGGGACGTGGGATAGTTGATCACAGTTTTGCCTTTTAATTTTTTGTGACTGCTGTAAAATAACTGGAGTCATTCAAAGGAAGTCTATGCAACAGAATTAGCTTTTTTCTTTAAAAGTATGTGGCAAAGTGCTATAAAAATCAAAATTAGATAGCAGAGATGGATTTCCAAAATTTTTAGAAATTTTGCTCAAGTATCCCTTACATAGGGATACTTGAGTAAGGATCAGGGATACTTGATTATTCGATTAAAATGTGTCAATTAAAAGTCCAAAAATTCATTTTCATCAAAACTTTATTTGTAAAATGTAATCTTAACAGCTATAGAATGAAACTTAAACATAGAAACTGACAAGGACTAGAAAAAATTTCTGTTTTTTGTTTTTAATAACACAAAATTTAAATAAATCTTACAGACTGAAAGAAGGCTTTTTACAAAAGCTTGTTCAAAATAATTTGAAACCAAGTTAAGGCATGTTTCATGTAGGTAGCAAAAAAACAAAAAAAAAAACATGGAATGTTCATCTCAAATCTTAGGCATGTTCAAAAATATCCAATGCCATAGGAAACTTGTAATACATTCTTTCACCTTTCATAACAATTAGTGGGTCAGGCGTTATCCCCATTATGTCTTCAAAATTTACATAGCTTATGTCTGTTTCTACAAATGTGAAATTTGTCAAAGTATTGTCCATAGCTTTCATGGATACTACTCTGTATTCACTTTTCTCTTCATTAACTTCATCTATAACACAGACATATCTGTAAAGATTACTTGGTCTTTTACCTCCTTTGAAAGACGCAATGACAAATTTTCCTTTCTTTAAATTTCCTTCATTTGGTGAAGAAAGGATCTGATATTCTTGAGGTATGTTTTCAGTCTCAGAATCTCCACTTTCTTCGTAGCAAATATCACTGTCATCCTCCTCACTTGATGTTTCCTCAAAAACTCTTCTTTTATCTTGCTTAACTTTTGGGTTACTGCTTCTTTTAAGTTTCTTCTTGCTGTTTTGAGCTTGTTTTTTTCTTCCCGTACTCTTTACTTTTCTTCAAGTTCGCTTTTGACTGGTGTGTCAGTGAGTATTGCAGATTTAACTTTCTTCCTTTGACTTGTTAGACTCTTGCGAGCTCCTGCCTTAGGATATGGTAAAACAACGGAGGGACTAACTGCAAATGAAGATGAGCTTGATTGGAGATTTGAAACGGCATTTAATTTTGGGTCATTAGCTACAGCCTGTGGATTAAGTTCACTTAAGCATGAAGATGTGCTTGAAGCTGTACTTGGTTGAGGATCTGACAGGATATCCAATTTTGGGTTATCACCTACAGCTGGTGGAATTTCTATGTTGTCACCACCTTTTGAACTTTCACCACCTGCAAGTCGTGGTTGCAGTTGTGGACGATCTGATAAATAGGACGGTAAAAAGTCTTCCTCTTTGAAAATGTTTTTATCAAAGGGGCAAATACCCGTTTTTGGAAAACCA